GGATGGATGAATGGCGGTCGGTGTCGTCGCCGCTGGAATATGTGTTGATACGGGTCTTGTCTTATAACCGTGGAGCTGCAGCCACGTGTATGGTTGGTACCGACGGCGTTGTTGTCAATCGGCGGGTTCGTACCGGTAGGGTCGTCGATATTTGAAGTTCGAACGATGCTTGCAGCCGAGGAGCGGCGCATCGTCGGTCTTCGGAGGCTGGACGATGCTTTCAACCGTGGAGCGGTATTATCGTCGGTAGTCGGCGCTCAGGTTGTTTCTGTTCCTGGTCATCTTTCTGTCGGAACTTTTCTTGCAAATGTTGACAGTTTGATGGTTTGAAATGGACTGACAGAGTTATTTTTTGCTTTGCTTTGTTTGAAGTACTCTGTAACAAGCTTTGCTTTTTGCAGAGGGCAGGATGTGTGCTTGAGGTTTGGGAGGTTTTGTTTTTTTTTTTTTTTTAGAAGTTTATTGGTCGGTTAATTTTTTGGAAGTCTTTACATATGGATGGACGATTAGCTATTTCTTGAATGTGAGTGAAGGGGGATGATTGGATGCGCTGTTTTGTTGAGTTGGTGATGATTGAAGTGTATACGGATATTGATGGCATGTTTAATTGTTTCCTTATAGCTGTGTTGTTGACGAACCAGGGTAGTTTAGATATTGTTCTGAGTGTTGCTGATTGGAATGTTTCTAATTTTTGAAGGTTTGTGAATGATATGAAGGATATCCATGCTGGACTAGCATATGTGAGGACTGGTAGGAGGTATGTTTTGTAAAGGAATAATTTCGTTTTTGTAGACAGTTGGCTTTTGTGGTTTAAAATAGGGAAAAGTTGATATCTGACGTATTTCGTTTTATTGATGGTTATTTTGACGTGTTTTGAAAAGTTTAATTTTGAGTCTATGTGGATACCTAGGTATTTGATGGAGTTTGACCAAGGTATTTCTGTGTTTTGAATTATTAATTTCTTCGAGTTTTGTTTTTGTTTGTGGGAGAAGAGGATTGTGTTAGTTTTTGATGGATTTATGCTTACTTTCCATTCGTCGAACCAAGGTTGGAGTAGGTCTATTTGTTTTTGGAGATTGTTGACTGCGTTGTTGTTTGTGTTGCTGGATGCGTAGATCAGCGTGTCGTCAGCGAATAGAGCCATTTTGGATGACGGATGAAGTGGCATGTCGTTGATATATACCGAGAATAGGTGGGGGGAAAGACATGATCCTTGAGGTACTCCTGCTCTTATGAGTCTGGTGGAAGAATTTGTGTTGTCGATTGATATGAAAAATTGTCTGTTTTTTAAGAAAGATGAGATTGTGTTGATTAGCTGGCGTGGTATTTCCATTTCAAGAAGTTTGACAAGTAGGCCATCGTGCCAAACCTTGTCAAAAGCTTTTTCGATATCTAATAGGGCGGCGGCTGTAATTTTTCTTCTATTTATATTATTTGAAATGTTGTCTATAACGTTAATTAGTTGAGTAGTCGTACTATGTTGCGGGCGAAATCCGAATTGCTCTGGTCTGATTTTTGGGAGGACGTATATGTTGAGTCTATTTAATATTAAGCGTTCGTAGACTTTTGACAGTGAGTTTAAAAGGGATATTGGACGATAGTTGATTGGTAGTTTTGTGTTTTTTCCTGGTTTGGGAAGCATTATTATTTTTGCAGTTTTCCACTGGGATGGAAAGTATTCTTGTCGAATGCACCCATTAAATAATTTGCATAGATGTAAGATTGTGTCTTTGTTGCTGCATCTTTTTAGAGCGTGATTTGTGATACTGTCATTTCCCGGAGCTTTGTTGATCGGCAAGTGTCGAATTGTTTTTTGTATTTCACCCGGGGTGAAGTATATGGTTTGGTTTTGTTTCAGAGAGTTTTTGTATGCTTGGAGAGTTTCCTCTACGTAGTGTTCGTTAGGGTGTGGGAGATTTGTCGTTGAAAATTGTTTTTCCATGCAGTCAGCAAATAATTCGGCGATGGATTGGTTTTCGTAGACCAGCTGACTATGGCTATTTTCAAGAGGATGATGTGGTAATTTTTTACGAAGCAGACTTCGGTTTAATTTGTATAGTTTGGATCTACCATCTGCGTGGTTTTCAGTGGAGAAGATGAATGATGACCATTCGTCGTCCCTATATGATGAAAGAAGTTCCCTTACTATTGAAGTTTGTTTGTTGAGGGCTGTTTTGATTGTGGGGTCTCTTGATCTTTGCCATTGGGCTCTCAGTCTTCTTTTTTGGGTTATTGCTATTTGAATTCTTTTTGGTAGTATCTTACTGTGATTGGTGGGTGAAGAAGTTGAGGTGTTGTTGGAGATGGTGGTTGAGATGATTCTCGTTAGATTTTCTATAGATTTTTCTATTTCTTTTGGGTTTGTGATGTTCGGGGATGGGAGTGTTGTGAGCTTCATGTCTGCTTCAAATTGTTCCCAGTCAATGGTACGTAGTGGCCTTGGAGGGTAGATGTTGGCTGATTGATGGGAGATTTCTATGATGATGGGGGTGTGATCGGAGGATAGCTTTGTTGAGTGATTTTCTAGGTGGTATTGCAGTTGTTCAGTTTTCATTATAGCTATGTCCAGTATGTCTGGATTGTGGTTATGGTTGTTTGGGTAATGAGTGGGGGAAGTTGGGGCAGCTATTGCGATTTGCGATGTCTAGTCTTGAGTCCAAGTATCGGGATAGTGTGACACCAGCGTTGTTGTTGACCCGACTTTGCCAAATGGTGTGTTTCGCGTTTAGGTCTCCTGCAATGATGGTGTTAGTAGGGGTGTTGAGTAGGGCATCTAAATCTGAGGTTTGTAGGGTGTCTTTTGGGCTTTTGTAGACTGCTACTAATCTGAGTTCTGCATTTCCAGTGTGAATGTGTATTGCGGTGTTNTCTTCTTTTTTGGGTTATTGCTATTTGAATTCTTTTTGGTAGTATCTTACTGTGATTGGTGGGTGAAGAAGTTGAGGTGTTGTTGGAGATGGTGGTTGAGATGATTCTCGTTAGATTTTCTATAGATTTTTCTATTTCTTTTGGGTTTGTGATGTTCGGGGATGGGAGTGTTGTGAGCTTCATGTCTGCTTCAAATTGTTCCCAGTCAATGGTACGTAGTGGCCTTGGAGGGTAGATGTTGGCTGATTGATGGGAGATTTCTATGATGATGGGGGTGTGATCGGAGGATAGCTTTGTTGAGTGATTTTCTAGGTGGTATTGCAGTTGTTCAGTTTTCATTATAGCTATGTCCAGTATGTCTGGATTGTGGTTATGGTTGTTTGGGTAATGAGTGGGGGAAGTTGGGGCAGCTATTGCGATTTGCGATGTCTAGTCTTGAGTCCAAGTATCGGGATAGTGTGACACCAGCGTTGTTGTTGACCCGACTTTGCCAAATGGTGTGTTTCGCGTTTAGGTCTCCTGCAATGATGGTGTTAGTAGGGGTGTTGAGTAGGGCATCTAAATCTGAGGTTTGTAGGGTGTCTTTTGGGCTTTTGTAGACTGCTACTAATCTGAGTTCTGCATTTCCAGTGTGAATGTGTATTGCGGTGTTCGTAATTGAGGTTGTTGGGATGATTGCTGGTTGGTGAATGAATCTTCTGTTAACAAAGACAGCGGTTCCTCCGGCTGGAGGTTGGTTGCTTGTTTGGGTCTTGTTAGAATAGTAGGAGTGGAAGTTTGGTAATTTGAATTTTTGACTTGAAGAGAGGTGAGTTTCGTTTAACAGTAATATGTCTACGTTTTGTTCTTGTACAAATTGTTGTAGTTCAAGGCGCTTCCGAGTAGCACCTTGTGTGTTCCAAAAAAGTATGCGGGTGTTATCGTACAGAGTTATCGAAATCGTCCGGTATATATACCCTTTTCGATAACTTAGTCCGTCGCTGATTGGCTGCCGGCCCCTTTGGTTAGGCAATCCCAACTGCTCTCGTTCTGACGATCGCTTGGTTGAAATGATGTCAATTTCCATCGGCAGAATTCATATATTTGTTGTTTAATCATATATGAGAATGGCCGTTTTAGTGGTGTGTGCATTGGTTCCGTAACATTGTTTTATGTATGATGTGGGTATTTGAAAGTTATGTTATAGTTTTTGATTTTACAACTTTAATATAAAGTAGGTAAATGTTATATTGAATATTAAAAACCCTAGAAGATGGACAAAAGGAAATATTTACTGCTTTAAATAAATTGTGGCACGTGTGTGACATTTTATCATATTAATAATATTGAAGTCTAAATTTTTTGTGATTGAAATGTTAAGTAGTTAATTTGGTCTTAATTGCTATATGTTATAGCTTAAATATTTACTAAAAGAAACTTATAGTAATAATCTATCACATCTTACAAACACTTCAAAAACTTGAATTCTTAACAAATTTAAAATTAAAAGAAATGTTTATACTCTTATAAAAATGAAATGAAATATTTGTTTTATTTTATAAAAATCATGAACTTAAAAGAATAAAATCATTGTAGTAAACAATACCTAATCTAAATTAAAGTTTAACAATAATAATTAACAATTAAAATTTAGATTTTATTTACTTACATCATTGCTTGGTGACGAAAGAAAAATTATTTCTAAGTGATTAATATTATAATATATAAAATAATAAAATCTCATTTCAATTCTAGTATTGTGTATTATTATGTAAACGTAACAGTTTACCTACCTATTTTTACTATTTATATGAACATAGAACATTTAGAAATTTATTACACTAATATCATTTTAGTAATTTATTATTATTCCTAAAGATAAATTTCCGCTAAATACGATGGTGTAATTGTAATTTAATTACGATTTTTGGTTTTTAATTATAATTTTTTAAAGGTAAAGAAGTCGAGTATGTCCCTATCTAATACGGGTTAATCACATTCCGAGCCAGCCTCGGATTTGACCGCCACGCTGACTGGTGGAGAAATTAGTATGCGATGTTTTACAGAACGTTCTTTCGGTAGAGTTTGACCTCCTTATCTCTAGCCTTCATGATTATCATCGTGGCACAATTAATGAAATATAAATATTTATATTCTGTGATATCCACTAGCAGGCTTGATAAGGTGATGTGCAGGGACCAGCATAAAAGTTTCGTTTATCATATTATTTATTTCATATTTTCATGTCGGGATGTTAGATATGTATGATTAATAGATTATTGATTGTCTATACAATTGACATCGGTATTCGGTATGACAGTATTCACTATCCACTATCCAGACATTCAGTACTCATACGCTGAGTATTAGTCACTAGACTGGTCAGAACTTGACACTTGTTAGAAATTAGAGAGTAACAACACTCACGACTGAATGACTATGTCTGGCGAAAACATTTAAGTAATTATTATTCAACATTAAAATATTAAATATTGATACTGTTAAAATTCTAGTGTCCGTTTAGAAAGTTAACTACAAGTGATTGAATTTCTGCTCTTGTCTAGATTTTAGTTTACACCATCAGACATTTGATATTAATATTTTGTTTGCAACTAAATCAAAATTCTGTTAAAGATTTATGATTCAGTAGGATCGGAAGTTTTTAATATTAAAGTTTATAATTATTTTATCCTTGTATACATATGTATAATCTAATGTTGAAAGTTTTAACTTTAATGACATCTTATTTCCAGCTGTTAGTATCAATTCACAATTATTAAATCTAAATATGTTCTAATTATTATTGTTGTTTGTATATTATTATATTTAGTATAATGTATGAACAATTTCAGAATATTACATAATATATAATTTTTACTTTGTAAAGAAAATAAAACTATTCTTTGGCGTATTAAGAATTTTCATATTTACAATGTATGACTATGAGTATGGCGATCTGTGTTTTGATGAAGATAAAATGTAAGTTTAAATAATTACTTCATCATGATATTTTTACTTCAACTTGTATAATTTGTTTAGGGGTATGAAAGTAACCTCTGGTGTAGTCACAATTAATAAAGACACAACAACCAATCTTATAGGAATAACAATTGGTGGAGGACCACCTCACTGCCCTTGTATATATGTTATACAGGTACGATTTCCTTTACTTCACTTCTAGAAAATATTGATTTATCATGTATTAAATTTTATTCAGTAAGTACTTATTATGTGAATGATATTATCATAGGTATCTGACAATTCACCGGCTGCATTAGATGGTACATTAGAAAGTGGTGATGAGCTTTTAGCTATTAATAATGAATGTGTACGTGGACATACAAAATTACAAGTAGCACAAATGATACAATCAAGTGTTGTGAGTTTCATAGTTTTACTTTTTCATGTAAAACTGAACTTTTTTTTATCATATTTAAGCTATATTTACCTAATTGTATCTAAGGGTCGAGTCATTTTGAAATACAACAAATTACACGCTGATGCTCGTCAAGGCAAAACTTTGGATATTGTATTAAAAAAAGTTAAACATAGACTAGTTGAACGTATGTCTGCTACCACCGCTGATTCTTTGGGTATGTCTCGTGCAATTCTAGTCAATGATAGTCTTGTTAAACGTTTACAACAGCTGGATGACATGGAACAATCATATCGTCACTTGGTTGATCATACAGAACGTGTACTTCGTGCATTTTATGCTCTGACCCAATGTTTTAAAGGTACTTTCAAATTACAGTACTCTTAAGATTATATTTAAGTAATTCGACCAATATAAATTAAGTAATCATTATCTGTATACATTTATTGCAGAGTTTGGGGACACATTTGCCGAAATAGGTGCTAGAGAACCACAGCCTAGAGCTAGTGAAGCTTTAGTGCGCTTTGCTGAATATCATAGACGAATGGAGCGTCAAGGCCTTATGCTAATCAAAGCTCTAAAACCCGTAAATATAAAAAACTTTAGATTGTTATGATAAAAATAATTTATAGTTCTGGAATAGATTTCTAGGTCATTTGGTACATACCTTAATAAAGCTATTCCAGACACCAAGCAAACAATACGCAAGTATGCAGATGTGAAATTTGAATATTTATCCTATTGTTTAAAAGTCAAAGAGTTAGATGATGAAGAGATAACTTATTGTTCAGCAGACGAACCTTTATATCGCATTGAAACTGGAAATTATGAATACAGGTATACGGATAAAACAAAAAAATATTAGTTTGAGTGTATATATAGACAGAGACTAAAACATATTGATCAAAAATATGTTATCTATAATCATGTTTTTTTTTTGTATAGGCTTGTACTGAGATGCCGACAGTTAGCGAGAAAACGATTTGCTGCACTTAGAGAAGATGTTTTGGCTAAAATTGAACTATTAGAAAATAAACATGTGCATGATGTTGTAGGTCAATTACATGCAATTGCTTCACAGATGGCTAGTTACAATCGTGAAATAAGTTGGATGATGCTTGGAGGTAACAATGTTAGTGAACCACCACTTTTTCCTATTGAGATGGATTTGACTTGCACTGCATTTCAATATAAGTCTGTCCAGCCAGTAAGCGATCTCAACCAAGATGATCTTAATGATGTAAGCAAAAATACTTGTGTATTTTATTTAATCAACTAATTTTTATTTATTTATTTACTAAACTATATTATGTATTCATTTACAATTTAAATTATAGGAAAGTATACATAACTCAGTTGATAATCCAAGAGTGTACAGAGATTTGCCACCACTACTTAAAAAGAATGATTCTGTTTCTGCTTTGACAGAACTATCACAATTATGCTTGGATACTGATGAAACAGATAATGAAAACCATGCCATAACAGCATCTTCTCCATTGCTTTTAGACTTACAATAATATTTTTTTAATATATTATTAAATATAATACTTTTATTTATTATTTATTCCTACTCGTTTGTATGTATTAAATACGCGTTGTAGATTGTTCTAGTCACTTTTAAATTTTAATATTTAATGTATACAAATATCACTCTTATTTATACAAATAACACAGTTAAAGATTTTTAATCTTACTAAATAATAGAATGTTTAATTTTTATTATTATCATTAAGCTTGGGTTAAATCAGCGTTTATAGTATTATTTTTACTACTTATAGGTTCACAATAATGTAGTAAAAGTTTTATTGAAATAAAAATTAATGTGGAACATTATTATTTCCTTTCTCCCTTTGTTTTCTAAACAAAATACCTAGGTAATATAACAAACGAGTGGTCATATTAATAAAGTTTGACAGAGAACTCTAAAAATGAAACACGCATTGTTTATAACTTATACATTAATAAGTGTCTCCTTATATAGCTCTAAAGGCAGCCAAGCTACACTTTCATTAGAATCATGCAAACAAAAATAAAATTCTTAGTAATGACTTATAATGAATCTGTGTTATTTTTTATGTAAGAAAAAGAAATGAATATGGCACTGTCAGATAATAGGACGAGTTTTTCAGACCAACACATGTTTCATGTTTACAGTTCAGTGTTAGCTAGACAATCAAATGGATATTTATGACCGATTTGTAGCATGACTGAAGACAACATAAGGAGCAATCAAACAATTTTTTATTAACGAAGAACATGAACAAAACCCTTTAAAAAAAAGTTGTAGTTTATTAAAATTAACATGTTTTTAAACTAAAATCATTAATATCAAATAATTGAAACTTAGATGTACCACTTCCACCAACAGCCACTAAAGATGGGTTATCCGTACTTCCATCTAAACTATGCAAAGCACCAGAAAATTCTCTAATTTTAATTAAGTGTTTATTCTCTCTATCCCACACTTTTAAGGTTTCGTCTGTTGAAGAGCTAACAATAAATTTCTCCCAGACATAAATTCCAGTAACTTCATTCTCATGACCTTTATACTTCCATAGCGGTTTATCAGCTCGACAATCATAGCAAATGAGTTGACCTCTATCAGTACCAATGTAACACAAGAATCCATTGGATGGATCCCAATGAACTTTTTCTACTTTACCTTTAACATCCCAATTTTTATATGTATCATAAGTGCGACAATCATAAACATAAAAATCTGAAGACCCAACTGCAAGCGTCTGTGATTCAAATGGATGCCATTTAAGTGATTGAACGTGATCTCCAAAATTTTCCATTCTTGTGTGAGGTTCACTTGTTTCTAGATCCCAAAGTAAGGTAGTCTCATCTACTGAACCACTGGCAAGTATATGAGGTAGATGTTCATTCCATGATATATCTAAGATAGCATCAGTATGACCATAGTTTCTTTCAGGATTTTTTTTCTTTTTTCTACCCAATCTGCAAACACAAATAATTTAAATGCAAATCAAGGGTTAAATATTTTATTTTATGTTATAATAGATACCTGTACGTGGGTTCCAAACATCCAATTAAATCTAAATCCCATACTTCTATCATGGCAGACATGGATCCCAATGCACAAAAATTTCCAATTGAACCAAACCACTCCAAGCATAAAGGTGGGTGCTTCAAAATAATGTCGTGATGAATGTAAAAATCTTTGTCATTGCCATTATAAACATAAACTTCTAGCGAGCACTCATTTTTTTTAACATTGCCCACTAATACAAGATTGTCATCGGGTTTGAGTATTTCATCGAGCTTGTCACTGTCAGTATCGGATTCATTAAAATCGTTATTATTATATACAGCCAAACCACCAATGGACATGGCTCCAGACATATCCATTTCTTCTTCGTCATAATTTTCTAAACCGTAGTCTTTTCTGTCGCTCTTGCTTCGCTCTTTTTCTTTGGGTTTGGTTTCTGTTAGTTCTTTTAATTCTTGTTGAGATAATTTTATCGTATTTTGATGTAACGATACACCTTGTTTCACCCATTTCACACATGGAATAAAACTCGTCATGGTTTAATCTTTAAATAAATATATACCTACATAAATGTTAAATAATGAAATAATAAAATATTATGTACTTATTATTTAGTATTCACCATTGGATAACAGTTCACATAAACGCAAGTACAAACACTGATGTCTGAAACACGTGTTGACTGAATATGACTTACTAGTTAGTAGTTACTACTTCGGTGTTATCAGTGTTATAAGGAATATGAGCACATCTGCAGCCTGCTACATCAGCTATTATCATAATATATGAGCACTTTATTTACTTTTTTTACTAATTTACCTTACGTCGTGATAAAAATACAAATCACTAATCAGTTATCACTTATCTTAGTCCGTGATTAATAGTTATTCTGTTACAGATTAGACTGGTTAACAGTCGCTGAGACGCCGAGTGCCGATAGTCGAATAGTCGATAAGGGTGTAGTGTAGACTGTTGAAGTGTAGACGATCGACGGTGTATTGTCATTTATTCTGTGGAACTGTGTAGTTATTTTCAACTTACACTTTTTAACCACGTAAATCGAAACCTACTACCGATTTCTAATCAATTTTCACTTCTTAGACAAATGTATAGTCATTTGTTTTCATTCAATTACGGTTGAATGATGTGATAGATCCGTCTATACAGTATACGTCATGTAACACTGCGCGGTATATTAAACTGTTGGTTGAACATTTGGCTCATGAAAAATCTGAAAAAACCTAACCATGCAGTCTGATTCGGATGATCGTCTGAGATTTCATGTGCGGTGTGGCACGTTAGTAAAACTTTCACCGAATAATAGATCAGCTAAGCGGCTGAGAGCATATGATGAATTTAATAATGGTGTTGTCATGACGAATAGAAATATATTCGACGATGAACTGTTTGAGGTATAGATAAATATTATGTAGACCCATAAATATAATACCTACTCTTTAGTAAGCTTGATATTTGGTTTTGTAGATTCGCATTGATAAACTTGTAGACAAGTGGAGTGGTAGTGTTGAGGTGGGTGTGACTATTCATGATCCAGGAGCTATTCCAATACCATCAACAATGACTAATTTGAGGACTGGTACTTCAATGATGTCTGGCCGTGGTATATTGGCTAATGGTAAAGGAATTAGACGAGAATACGGGGATTTCAATCTGGACGATTTGAAGGTATTTATCATATTGTTTAAGATGATGGAATAATTCCATTAATATCCAATATAAATTGATTCAAAATGTGTTGTATCGTTTAAGGTTGGTGATCGTATCGGTTTGATACGAAAGCGAAATGGTGATCTACATTATTACATCAATGGTCTTGATCAAGGAGTAGCTGTTTCTAATTTACCCTCCAAAGTATGGGGTGTAGTTGATATGTATGGCAGAACGGTTAAAGTTACTATTGTTGATCGCGATGTTAATGAAGAAAAAAATTTGTTAACAAGGCTAAGCAATTCATTAACCTTGTCTAATGAAAATCAAAGTAAGTTTAAATATTCTAAATTTTTTACACAGAAAACAATGATATAATCAGAATTTACTGGTCTTATTTAACAATTGTAATTTGTTTGGTTACTGATGTCCAAACAATTAGATCTTTGTGTACCTCTATATGTGGTAATTCATTTGTACAAATTTTTGATCAATGAAAAAAACAATAGTCTTGGCTTATAATAAAGATTGAGGAAATGAAACATCATTCATTAGATGTTTACCATATTTTGTATTATATACATATTTTAATTTTGTTACAGTAGTCAATGAAGATTTACTCGAATTCCATCCAATGTGCGGTGCACATACTCTAGTCATTAATAATAATACCGTTGCTTATAGACCAAAGTAAGAAGAATATGAGTATTAATTAGTTTCTTAATTAATTAGTTATATTTATTTTAGTGCGTTAGATGATTTTAATAATGGTGTTGTGTTAACTAAGCGTCCTCTACGTTTAAATGAATTATTTGAAGTACGTTTGGACCGTCTAGTCACTAAATGGGCAGGTTCAATAGAAATTGGTGTAACAACACACCGTCCGGGAGATATTGACTATCCTTTAACTATGACAAATGTACATTCTGGTACTTGGATGATGACCGGTGTAGGAATTATGCATAACGGCATTACAGTTGTCAATCAATATGGAGTAAATTTAGATACATTAAGGGTAGGAGATCGTGTTGGTGCTATGGTCAAATCAAATGGTTCTTTATACTTCTATGTAAATGGCATAGACCAAGGAGAGGCAGCTAAAAATATTCCAACAGGGGTATATGGTGTTGTTGATCTATACGGACAAGCAGCACAAATTACTTTATGTCGTGATAATGTTGATCAAATTTCTCCATACAAGTATGTAATATTTTACAAATTATATCGATTATCCATACTAATTATTTTTATTTCATGTTAAAGAAATAATGTTAGATTCTTTCCAAATCATGGAAAAAATGCACGCATAGTTCCTGGGTCACGTGGTCGTACATCTGACAGATTATATTGTGAATATGAATTTAGTCAGTCAATTGTTCTAGTCAATCAAATGTTACAAGATGGTGAATTATTTTCTGTTAGTGTGGATAAACTTAATGACCGGTGGTCAGGCTCAATAGAAGTTGGTAAGTATATCACTGAAATAATTGATATTATTTAATAATATTTGATACAAAATGTTTTCTAGGTGTTACTACAATTCCCCCAAATATCCTATCTGCTGATCTACCTAATACCATGACAGATTTAGATCACGATACTTGGGTTTTATCTGGATGTACAGTGATGAAAGATGGGTTAGCAATTAAATACAACTATTCACTAGATTTGGACAAAGTTAAAGTTGGTTCTGTGGTTGGTGTAATGAGACATAGCAATGGTTATTTACATTATTTTTTGGATGGGCATGATCAAGGGGTAGCTTGTACCAGTGTACCTCCAAATTTATATCCAGTGATTGATATATATGGCCGATGCACTCAAGTTACTATCCAAAGTCCACCAGAAATTAGATGTGATGATAGTGATTCAGACACAAGTTGTTGCTCACAGGATGATGCAATATCTGTTCAAACTGAAACAGGAGTTAAAGGACAAAAGTATTTAAATTTGATTTAGTTGTATTATGGATAAATAATGTTGATATGATTTTCTTCTATATTTTAGAGATATTAATTTAATTGAATATCTATACGGAGAGAATATAATACTAATTGAAGATAATAGAACAGCCACTCGAATAAAATCATTCAAAGGGGGCCTCTTAATATGTGACAATAAGATGCAGCCTAATGAATTATTTCAAATACTAATAGTAAAATGTAATACAAATTATGCAGGAAGCATGCGCATTGGTGTAGTTAGTTCTCTGCCAGAAACTCCATTGCCATCTGATATCAAAGATTTAATTAAAGAAGATGTATGGTATTTTTCTGGTATGATATTTAATTTTATAATTTTAGTTCTACAATTAAAATCATGATTTTTTTCTAGGCAACCAAGTATGGTACAATCAATCATTGATCATGAATAACTATTGTCCAAGCTTAGATAGGCTGAGAGAGGGTGATAGAGTTGGTATTAAGTACACAGCGGATCGAACATTACATTTGTTTGTGAATGGCTATGATCAAGGAACTGCTGTATATAATGTACCTGAGGTAACCTTTAAAGTTTTCATTCCATATTTAATACTGCCTAATATTTTCTAAAATAGGAAAGTTTACTGCTACCAAGGCTTGATGAAATTGGTAGACAAATATTTTCTAACATCTAACCCCTCCTTATTATCACCACGATCACCCACTGACTGCTTAAACTCACTCTCAAATTATTCCCACTTTTATATAAGTATATTGCATTGCCCTTTGACACCCAACTACCACCTCTTAAACTTCAAAGTCTAAGAGGTAGTTCAAATACCTCTTTACCATGCTCAAGTACAGGGGCTTTGTATTTTAAATTTAAAGACAAATTATAATAAATTCTTAGTATCAAAATCCAATATCAAATTTTTTGCCATTTCAAATTAAATCGAAATCTCCTCGGAACTATTATTACAATAATATTGAGTTGCATGAAAACTGTATTAATATAATATAATTGCCATTAAAATATGTTTAAATTACCATTAGCTCACTCTTGATTTGTTTAATGTCAAGTGATTGTATATGCAAACCCAACTACAGTGGTATTTGTGCCTTTTTTTTAATCTCAAATTTTTTTTCTATTTCTCAAGATCTGGCTTAATGAGAGTTTACTGTAATATATAAATATTTCAATGTTATATTTAACTATAAGAACTTTATGTTAGGTTATTTATGGAGTGATTGATTTGTACGGTTGTCATATTTCGGCTAAAGTAATACATACAGATCAAGATTCTAAAACAAATGTGCAAATGATTTCTTCTCAGTGTAGTGAAAATACATCAGATATATCTGAATCAGTTAAAGTGTTAGTATTAAATCATTCTAAAAAATTTAAATCTAAATTAGAGTAGCATCTATTTTAAATTAATTTATTACTTTATTTTAGAGACACAACAATTAATGTTCTGAAAAGAATGACCGTACTAGATGAAGATATGAGTGAATGCTGTTCATCTGAAATCAGTTATTTTATAGATGAGGTAAAATTGTATTTAACGGAATGTATTAAATGAAATAAATATTTTAATTGTTTGCAGTCTACATATAAATTAATGAGATTTAATGACTGGCGAGGTCGCAATGTACGCTTATCACGAGATGGCCGTACAGCAACTAGAACAGAAAGTTATCATCACGGGTTAACAATGACATCAGATATTTTACTACCAAACTCTTTATTCCAGGTATGTACAACATTTTTAAATTTCAAAAATACTGACTATAATTAATTGATTATATTAATATATGGTTATGCTTATGATTAATATTGCTTTACACTTTTACAGGTTGAAATCCAAACATTAAATAAAAAGTGGGAATCGTCATTAATGATTGGCGTATCCAAGATTACATGTACTAATAATTCTGCACCAGCAACAGCATTATCTTTAAAGGGATATGATAGCACATGGATAATTTCTGGTGATTCTGTATATTTTGATGGCCTTAAAGTAAGTGTCTTCTACACAATTTTATGAGGATTTAAAATATATTTATTTATATATTTATTTGTTGTTAGATTAAAAGTAATTACGGTCCAGATTTGAATTATTGTTTACCAGGAGATATCATTGGAATCATGATTGATGGAGAAAATCGCTTAAAATTGTTTGTTAATCGTATCGATTTTGGAGTAGCTGCAATTAACATGCCAGCTGACTGTTATGGTGTTGTCGATTTGTATGGGCAATGTGAACAGGTAAATAGTACATACGTATTTGTATTGTTTTAAATTCTTCTTATAACTTTATCAACTTACCTAGGTGTCTATAGTAAATCCCTTTATTGACTTGTCGCCTGTTGATCCTATCCCAAATATGCCTCTGGAGTGTGACTTATTACCTGAGGATGCCAGTCAACCAATACCATCTGAAGAAAAAGCTGACTTTGAAGGTGATGAAAAACAAAGTCCAGCATGCGAAGAAACAGAATTGGCAGATTTAACTTGGATGAAAACGGATAAGACCAATGAAAATGTTTTGGTCGCAAGTGGCCATGATGTTAGATCTCGTTCAGCTGAATTGGCTGGATGGATAGATGAGGAAGCAAGTACATCTACACTGAGAATGTCAAAAATTCGTGCAGGAAAAACATCTGGTTATTATACTCCAGATACAAGAGAACGAAGACAAAATGAAATTTTAAAATCTCTTCGTCTAAAACAATGTCAATATTTTAATTTATCATCAAAAATCAGAGCTTATCTTAGTATTCCAGGTTAGTTACAGAACAATAAGTATGAGGAGCTTCAGAATGAATTTTAACTATTCATTTTTTCAGATGCATTTTTCTTAGATAAAGGTCATACATGCTATTGTGATGGATGTAATTTGTATACATGTGATGAAAATAAATTATCTATTGAAACGGGTTGGTGCAAATTTTTACTCCGCAAACATCCTAAGTTCAATAATTTACTTTTGGATAAATGGCGATCAGCATATGTAGGAAGGTCATTTGACATGATCCGCAATTGTTTGGATAATGGAATTTTAACTGTTCTAGGTAAAATTTGTATCATTTTTATTTAAAAGTAATATTTTAGTTTACATTTCATAATATAATTTAGATACTGAACCGGAGGACATTATACTTTATCCATACTTAAAGCGTACAGTATGTTGTCAAAACATAAAACCATTTGGGTAAGTTAAATATTTTCTACAATTATTAAAAGTTATTATAAAATAAAATCACTGTTTTATCAGGTATTATGATCTTGAAACCAATAACCAGTATAAGTGCCATGCAGCTTTTGAGTTGATGATTGAACAAGGTTCATTTGAAATCGGCGAATTGTTGCCAAAATCTAGCAGAACTGATTGTCATCAAATTTCATCACTAGTAATTCCAAAAATTGGTACCAAAACCGTACTCACTGCTCTTTATTTTAGATTTGACAGAGATATAAATTAAATTAAACTAGGGAAACATTAGATTACTATTAAGAACTTAAAAGACATTGATCTCACTTATTTTTGTTATATTTTTTTTATTATTATTTTCAATATTTGATAAAGAACAATTATTATATCACTTTATAATGTCTGGCAACCTTTTCATTTAATATGTTGTCCTGCTTTGCACTAACATATTTTGGATTTTCTGTACCTTCGGTATAGAATGTGTATGGCAAATTAACGTTACCAAGTCTTAACTGATTGACACGTCTCAATATATCTGGTGTTACGGGAGTAGTTATAAATATGTCGCCAGTAGATTTATTTACAATACGAACAACACCTAAAATAAAATAAAAAATTATATTCAGCTTTTAAATATTATTGAAGACAATATCAAAATATAATACTCACCAAACCCAACACATTCACATAAGTCTGTGTTGTTAGCCACACACAGGGCTAACACATTAGCATTTAGTATATCTAAAGATTCGTCTTGGGTTAATTCATCAACATCCTTTATTTGAACATTAATATTTCGGATGTTTATTCTGTAAATTAAATATTATTATTCAATGTTTATTACTAATGTTATAATAATCCATACCTATACGGGACAACATCGTTAAAATAAATATCTGTACTTTCCAAACATTTACTGAAGTAGGATGATGTTACCAATTGTTGTCTTATGTGCTTATCAACATTTCTATAAAAATTTTTAAATGTTAAAAAAATGTAAAAAAACTTCTTTGTATACTGCTTACAGTGAATAAGGTGCCTTAGCAAACTTATTTTTAACATTAGACGTAAAATACCAAAGATTGTATGACAAAGAAGATTTTGTATTGTCATTTATAATTTCTGAATGCAAGTTTAATTCTTGGTTGTCATTGAATTTAATCTGTAATACATCAGATGGTTTAGTTTCAGATATAAGATTATGTAAGATCTTGAGGCCTGCTCCTAAAAGTAAAAAAAAATCCTCAAACAATTAATTTATGTTTTTTTGTATTATTATTATTTATTTCTAATATACATCTAAATTTTACCTTCAACAAAACCCATAGTGTTAATAAAACATGGCATTAGTCGCAACTCATCAGTGTTGGTATCATCGACTATTTTTTTAACAATTTCATTGTAAAGTGGTACATTGGTCATAACATCATTGCTCTCAAAAAAATATGATCTAAAAAAAAAATCTATTGTAATTACTGTTTGAGCATAAATCAAAGAAGTTATTAAAAGGTTCATTAAATTATAAAAAGCAATCAAGCAATAATTGAGATTACTTTAAAGGTTGCATTAAATGCGTATAATTTGGTCCAAGTAATGGTTTATCAATAACAAATGCTGAAATACATCCAGGTATGAAAAATTCACTTTGGCCAATATCAAAGTCCAAAACTAATATTTGTTTCCACTTCTTAAGACATTTATTAATGAAATAACGCATCATGGTTGATTTTCCAGAATTTTTGTACCCAGCCAACAAAACTCTGACTGATTCTATGATCAAATATTTTAAATTATAAACATTGTAAACGAGTTGTGAATGGGGTTCAATACTATGACACAAAACTAACCTGTAGAAGACCCAATAGAACGATTGAGAAGTTCATCACAGAAACCTTGAAATTGTTCATCCATCACAAGTCTTTGATTTGACATAGGAGTCTTGCTCAGATCAAACCAACAATCTAATTGCTCTTCTAGTTCTAGTAAATTTTTGGGCGGAGTCAATCTTGTTCCATTCGCACCAAACATGTTGAAACCTAAAAAATCCATTGACAGATGAATAATTCAACTAGTAGTTTAACTTTCAACATACTGGGAATATAATTATTCATAAATGTTTTCCATTTGCTGGATTGGCCACTTTTTTCCAGCATAACAACTGCTTTCTGTCCGTCGGCCGAAGCAATAGAAATCAATCCATGCAATCCCGAAGAGTACAATGTAGTCTTTGGACTATCCACGGTCATAGTGTAACCCCATGGTTCTATCGTTCCTTCCAAAACGTGGACGTCGACAGCTCCGATGATGTACAAAACGTCTTCGCCGTTGAACTCGATACACACTTTCTCGGATGCATCGGATTCAAAGAATACGGGTAAAGTATCAGGTAATTGAAATATTTCTTTCATTTCGAAGCCTAAATCTACCAATACATCGATAATTTCAAAATACCGAACTTGCCACACTAAAAAGACCTGAACACCAACTAAAGTAATAAATTGTTATCACGGATTAATAAAAACATATTGATTGTCATAATTATTCCTCGTGCCGTACGGTATCAATGGTATATATTTTATGGTTACTGCAGCTTGTCCGCGATAAAAGAGATATCACTGGAGCACCGAATACAAAATATTTTATAAACACAATCAATGAAAAGTAAACACTACAGAAATAACAATAATTGACGTTATTATATTGTATCATTGTGAGACATTTGATAAGGTGTTTATTTTGTTTTTTTTTGGAAATTTATGTTTATTTTAAGTGTTAATTCTAATAATATATATTGTTATTATTACTAATTTCGAGTAAATTCTTTATATTTTCATATTGAGTACAGCTACACCGAGTGCACGAATACGCCTCGTGCAGGACGACAGAACGATATTTTATCTACATTCGCAATTCGTAAATTCAGGAACCCTCAAAGTTTTTCTCTATTTCAAATAATAATTACGATTATACCTATGGACAACTTACGCAACGAGGTTATTATAAAAGTTAAAGTAAGTTTTTTGATCTAATAATTATTAAAATTTTCACGTTATGAAGCACCTATTACCTAACAGACCGGTTAAATGTTTTTGAGAAATATCACAGATAATTAGATTCAAAGATTTTCAAAGAAGAAATATTGGAATGTATTGAACGTATCAGCTTAAATGGAACATTTAAGATGCTACATACTTTGCAATGTACCAGCAAAACATACTGACCCTTATCGGTCCGTGGCGCAAGTCGATAACTACTACTTTTGATGCTAGTCATATTTTTTTTTTGAAAATCTTGATCGAAAACATTTTATAGAAACTTAAATCTTTTTTAACATATGTCTCGTTTGATACATTTTTTCAAAATATACATAATAATAGGACTTCTTATTATCTATTCCACATGTTAAAGCCTTTTAATAATTGAAGAAAGACAGGTTTTGTCTTGCAGTATTCTTTAAGTCTATATTGTATAATATTATGTCTTTTATAGGAAGCAATACGAGCAAAACTGAAAGAAATGAATGCAAATAGCAGTAAGTAATAATTATCCTAGGTAGATATTCATATTTTCATATTTATAAAATAATTAAGTAATAAATATTTATTTATTTTCAAACACATTTCTTTGTTAACATTTATTAAGAGCTATATTTATAACTAGAAATAATATTAGATTATTATTATACTATACTATATTTAGTGATATAATATATTACAGATAATGAGATAACTACCTAGGTTAAGCAATCACTACATATTTTAATGAATCAGTTGTGAGCTTTAATCATGAATTCGTGGCTGACATTAAATAAATGAGTGAATCATTTTATTAATTAGTTATTTATGCAACTTGAATAAATATGTTGTATTTTAGTATATTTTTAAAAGAAATATGAATCATTCTTTTTATTATACCTATTTGTAGTAGTTAGGAGTAGTATGCTGATAGTAGCTATGTTTCAGTAGCACCCTACTTTCATTGATACAATTTACCTAAAGTAGTGATAGCAACCTATTTTTTTGGGAAGAGAAGCTAGGTGTAGGGTTAGCACGCTACAAAAAATCAGTAGCATCACTGCCTAATGGTAAATAATTGTTAATTTCAACGCGATTTATAAATATAACGTCTTTTAATTATCAAATATTTTTATATTTTAAAACTATTTTCATAAGGTAGGTAGTTAACCGAAAATACATTATTTCATTTATTTTACATTGTAATATATTTTAATATATTTTTCCTATTGTTAGCTTTTCACCTTTTTATTTTTAATTTGTTTGGAAAAGTATATATTTTTGTTTTAAAATTATCTTTGTTAAATTTTTTAGGTGATGAGATAATTGATTATATTATGCTGTTAGTTACTACTAAAAAATCTAGCTCTGAGTTGGCGAAAAGTATTGATTTTGTGATGGAGAGTAATACAACTGTTTTTGTGAAATGGTTGTCAACAATTATTAAAAAATTGCAACAGGTGACTGTCAGTACTACAAATCAGATTGTATCAGGTAATTTAAATAACTTAGATTTTATTATTTGTTCTATGTTTTTGAATTTATAATATTAAGTCCAAATTGTACGATATAATTAGTATGTGTGTAAAATAAACCATTAATTTTAGAATAAGATAAGGGCCAATAAAGACAACCACTCCGTTTAATTTCACTACTTCAATGTATACTCTTAAGGGTTATCTTATTGTGAATATAAATACATAATATACAGTTTGTAAAATTATTATATCTTACAGTTATATTCAATCCCAGTCAGTTACAGAGTTGAACTCAGTGAGTCATTTAGTAATACATAGACAAAAATGTTTGAATACCTCGAACTTCGAATAATGAAAGGCGAATAATATATAATTAATATAATGTCTTATTGAAAAATGGGCCGTTAACTTTTTTACGATCAGTTAAAATCTTAAGACTTGGTGGTCCGATACCTTGCCTATCCGGCACTGGTCGTATTTATTATTCTAAAATTAATGAAAATACAATGTTTAAAAATGCATGTTATTAAAATAAATATGGCTGATATATAACTGTCAATATATTAATTGTTTATACCAGTTGTGACTGTAGGGAAATTATGCCATGAAGTCATAAACACTGAGACAAAGTTTTGTTTTACAATACTATTGGAAATTAATAGTATTAAACAATCTGATTTATGGTGTTTCTGTTGAATTGAAATTGATTATTCAAATAATAGTTAATATAAAAACAGATAAATAATTATTTTTCATAATCAACTACTTATGAACTATAGGTACTACTAGTTTTGCATATTAGGTACTATAGGTCCGTAAAATAATACCATTTTTATTTACTGGTTGTGAAATATTGGTCAGTAGATCGAGCCTATTGACATTGTAAAAACTATTAAATGGTAGTTTATACTTTCATTGGCTGTTAACTCATTACCAGGTAAAAGTTATTTTAATTTAAAAAATATTAAATTTTGATACATAATAAGTACATTCATGAAGATGAATGATTTAAAATTTGGATTAAATAGTAATAATATAATATTTATATTTTTACAGATAATCTAAAAACACCTGAAGAAAGTGTAACAAACGACAACAAAAATGAAAGTGATATTATTTCAATCTGTGAAACTAGTGATATAAAGCTCAACACTACTGTTGAAGTAAAAGAAGATCTTCATTTGAGTGTTGAAAATGGAAAAAATATACAAACATCTGAAAGAGAAAGTATGATTATCCTTATTTATTAGACATTAGTACATTTTATGTACTCATATTAAGCTTGACTTTATCCGGAAGTTATCAAATGTATGTATGGAAATAAAACTATGATAAGGTACAGAGAGTGGGTGGATGGGGCATTTATTTTGTTTGAATCATCCTGGCAGACTATGTAAGTTAGTGTTATAACTATTGTTATTGTAAACTTAAAAGCAATGATGAATCATTGTATCTGGAAAATGATGTGCGTGTTAACTATAGTGATGTATATATTTTTTTGAATTTTAATAATTATCAAATGAACTGAAAGTAAAGAATTTATAAAAATAATTTAGTGTGCATTTTCAAAAAAAAATAACACAATTTGATTAATTATTGGATAAAAACTAAGAGTTTAAGCCATAGTGAAGAATTGTTTTCAAATTGTTCAGGTGTGACTAGATATACTCAATATACCTCGTGTTAAAGACTATCCAGGTTAGGACTACAGCTATAGTCTATTCTGAAACATGTATATTAAAAATAAAAATAGTATCATAAATACTAGAGTTAAAAGCTCCATTACAAATCTTGAATGATAAAAAATAAATTAAAATTATTAAATAACAGATTTTGTCATAAAAATTAAATTAATTATTTAATAACTGATGATATTTTCCTAATGAAATTAATTAACAATATGAACTATTATATTAACTTTAATTTCAGACCATCAAAATTGTTTACCTGAATTAAATGTATTTAAGTCAGAAAAGTATGATGAGAATACAATATCTTCACCGTCAGACAAAGTAAAACCAAAAATAAGTTTTTCACCAATAGAAGCTATTAAGAGTAAACATGACCTACCGATAAATAAAAAAAGCACTGTTGTAAAACCTTTACAAAAAAACCATCCTACTATTTTTATTAATCCTATTGTTGTATCAAAACAAAGTATTAACAATGATAATGAAATAGTTGATGGTAAAAGAAAAAGACCTCGAATATCTATAAACAGCGACAATGAAGATGAAAAAAGTTTCACGTCTAAAGCAATACATCCAGTCACTAGTAAAGAAACAATTAAACAAATTGCAAAAGATATGCCAAAGAAAATTAACAAAAAAACCATGTCTCAAGTTGTTGTTGTTAAAACTCATTGCAAAGTAAGTTTCACAATGTCTATTTATTATAAATTTTTAATATTGTAATGTAATATTAATTTCTTAATACTAATTTTATTTTTTTTATGTTGTTTTTTTAATTTATATGTAGAATAACTTAAATGAAACTAGAAAGAAACTAAATATGCATGATTTTATTGCACAGCGAGTCGATCATCAGCGAGGGGCTTTGGCCTTGGATACTGCATTCAAGTACATTCAGCAACAAATTGGTGCGTCAGAAAAAGAAATTGCTGTTATAAAAAAATGGAGGGATTATGCTGTAGACATGTTACGCCCCAACAAGAATGAATAATATTTTATCTATGATGTTCATAATGATAAATTATTTTATTACTGAAAATGATTCCTTCCGACATTAGCATAAAAGTATTTAAGCTTTAAAATAAGTCAAAATTGTTTCCAAAAGAATTAAAAACTACTTAAAAAATCTAAAATATTTTGGACTAATTAATGTTATATTTATTTGGTTAAAAGTGTACAATGTATTTAAATATTTATTCTAAGTTTAATATCTGCAAGTATTAATATACCATTAGGTAGATTATATTGTAATTTAGTTTGTTTATGATTCTTTGTAAATAGCATGTGACCCTGTTATTTTATAAGACTGAAATCTAGAAATAATATTTTTTAATTTTGGATGTTCGTATTCATTTATGCAAGCATCTAGTTATACGATTTTACAATGGTTCATAGTTTATTCATTTGTGAGAATAATGAATATGCATAAAAAAGTATGAACAAAATATCATACTTAGTTATACAATAATGATTAAAGTCACCTATATTTTTATCTAGTATTAATGATGAGCTAAAGTTGATGTTGATGTACTCGCATAAATAAAATTTGAACACTGTACAAAATACTCACAATAATGTGGTGTACTATTTGCCAATTATCTATTTTGCTTTTTCAGCTAACTTATTTTTTTTTTTTTAATGGTTTGGATTGGATTTTGAAATATTTTGGATGTAATTGTCTGCTACTGTGATCTGTGGTATAATGTATGAAATAAGTTAAATTAAATATATTTGTGACATATTTATGTTATAGTATCATAACATGTTCATATTTTGTGTAAAGTATTTACAGTTTTATACAATATCAATGTATGTAGTATTGTATGTGCAATAAAAGATGTTTGCTGAGACTAAATATTTCCGAAGGCAAAAAATTTTCTATTTCCGTTTTATTTGTATTCCTACAGGATCCTTGCTTATATCCAGAATAAATTATTATTATAGATATAATACTTTAAGATGATGGGGTAGTGTACCACGTTGGGTCTGATTCCCGAACCGGGTATGCGGATATGTAAAACCATAACCATTTTGCATTTACCGTAGACCTACGATTGTGAAAAAGTGATGCTCATCTGGTGAATCCATGCATGTGTTCTATTAAATTTCCTACAATATTTCAAACTTGTAAAAATATATAAATATATTAGAGTACCTTTCATTGGTTTTTTTTAAATACGCCATCTTAAATACATTTTTTAATTGTACAACCCGAAGTCTAGACAGTCTGGTGTTCGTTTCTCATATTTTGCAACTTTGCTAGTTAATTTTTAAACTTCTTCCACCAATACAAAACAAAATCTGAAATTTTTTGTTCTTGAAAACTAAATTTAGAAATTTATAATTGAATTACATAGTTTTGAGCAGGGACTTCCGAGGAGGAGAGAGCTGTTGGACCTAGAGTACAGGACCCAGTTGAAATGAATTTGTAGTTTTTGATAGGAATACTTATATAGTTATTTTAAATGAAATACTATTGTACGGGGCCTCAACAACATTTAGTATAGACGGTTAAAATTTGAAAACTATTATTAATTAGAGCTATACTTAAATTATAATTCACTTATGCCCACGTTGCGTTAATGTCGTTTTAAGTGTTTGAGACAAAAATATAATAATACCTACCTACCAATAAAACCGAATGAAGACTATTTCTTATCCGATCTTTGTTGTAGGTAATCAGTAATCTGTGGCTTGTTTTCGAGGGGGTTTACGTTATGAAGATTTATCGTTTTCACAATTCCGCCGAAAAATACTATTTTTAAAAAATGTACATACCTAGGTCGACTCTACGGGTTATTGATTTCGCATTTCCGCCGGGGTCGGTTAAATGTTAATACTATCTAGTCTATCCATCGATTCCACTGAGTCTCAAATTTATAAAAAATTGTATGTAGTGATCAGCCATCAGTTTTAGACTTCATTAATATTTTACTGAATGTTGTATACGTACAAATAATTAATTTAAAACTTGACTCTGAACTCTTGAGTTATTAGGTGAGCTAAACTTACCAACATGAATGGGCAAGTTAATTTTTTTTTTTGACTAGGTGAGTTACTGAGTTATATTAAATGTTAAAAAGCGGGTAATTTTTTTTAGAGTTACTTCAAAAACCAAAATCGACTTTTTTGAAAACTGGTTTGAGTTCCCCGTTTTTCCTTAATTTTTTGTCTGTTTTTCTTAAGTTACTTTTTTGTTGTCAAAAGACAGCAAGAAGAATAAATACTTCTTCGAACAAATTTTTTTTTCATTTCATACATATATTATTTGTTAATTTCGGAAAATATAATTTTACAATTATAAAAAAATGCATATTTTATTTTATTTGAATACTGTACGGAAAAGCTGAATATTATTGTTATTAATAACAATAAAAAAATTATTTACTTAAATTTCAATATGTATGCTAAAAATGTGTTGTAATTAGATTTGTCCACAAATGAAGTATGTTTGTTTGAAAAATCTTTTGAAGGAAAAATATTTCTTTGTTACTTAAAAATTGTTGAAAACTTGAAATCATTTATGGGGCCTCGTTTATAACCTCACTAACTGCTATTAGCAAGCCCGGATTAAGACATTTTGAGGCCCAGGGGCCAAAGTTTTAAATGAGGCCCCTGTACGAAAAAAAAAATATATTAATGTATATAATGTGTTCTGGGGTGAAATGTCAACTGACCAGCCGACATCATATGAAGGTATACCAAAAATGATGAAGAAATACCCTTTAAAGATTGTGAACTTTTTTATTTTTGAAGTTTATAATTAACTTTTTTTTTATCAAAACCATACATATCACGCATTTGTATATGTATCTTCAAAAGTTTTCAACATTTTAATGTAAATTTTTTTTTTTTAAAGCTATTTAATTGTCCTATCAATATTCTGACATACGCAATTGAACTAAAAAAGCGCTAATTATTTTTATTTAATTAAAAATGTAGAAAAAAGTTGGAAAAAATTAGCATTTTTTAAAAGAAATCGTGTATTATTCCAAATAATTTATTACTTAGTATACTAAGTATATATGGGTTTTTTGTATTATTCTACTGAATTATACTGAATTATACTGAATTATACAGAATAATACCTAGAATACCTTGAAATTTTGGTTTTCATAATATATTCCTGTTAATCGTCACAATCTTAGTTTTCATAGGATTGAGTCGGTTAATTGGTCGTCAATAGTTTAATTTTATACTATTCGGTAAATTTTAGTTGTCATAATACAAAAAACAAAAACTCATAGTTAATAATAAATTATTTGGAATAATGCACAATTTCCTTTTAAAAATACTAATTTTTGCTAACTTTTTTCCCTTTTTTTAATTTAATAAAAATAATTAGCACATTTCTGGTTTAATTGCGTATGTTAAATTATAGGACAACAATAAATTAACTTTAAAATAAAATAAAAATTACTTCAAAATATTGAAAAGTTTTGAAGATTTGTTTATATAAATGCGTGATACGCATGGTTTTGGTAAAAAAAAGTCAACTGCCCATAACTAAAAAAATAAAAAAGTTAGATTCAATCTTTAAAGGGTATTTCTTCATCATTTTTGGTATACTTTCATATTACGTTGGCCGGTCACTTCACCCTGGAACACATTGTATAATATTTAATATTTGGTACCTGTTATAATAAATATAATATATAGATATTAGTTATATAGCAATAAATAATGAATAATGTATTACTTTATTTATAAATTATAATTTGCAAGCTTTTTTCCTAATTAAATAATCATCGATTTTTTTTTAGGAGATTTATGTAGTGTTATACAGCCTGTAACGAAAAAATTAATGGACAAATCAGAGGCCCCTAAATAAATTCTAAAAATCGAGGCCCGGGGGCCATGGCCCCCTCTGGCCCCCCCCTTAATCCGGGCTTGGCTATTAGCTATATATTTGATCTATTCATGATTAATTGATTGAAGAAAAATTAATTCCTTACAAATTACAACATTTGGGTAAAGTTGACACCTCAGTGAGACTTAAATAACCCCACGAGTGATATTTCAGATATTTTCAGTTTTTAAAAACAATTTTTACTGTCCTGCGTAGATCCAGAATTATAGTTTTTGTTTTGTTTTAGTGGTTAATATAGGCACAAACATATAGGTAAATAGTGGTGTTAGGTCCTATCGAGTCACAAAAAAACCCGGAGCTTAAGCACCCCCTAGTTCAAATGTCACTGCCAATGGTCCATATTTAATTCTTAGCCCAGTTACTTCCTGGCGGGCAGTCTTGTCCATGTGGAAAGTCTGAACTCGGACATTCAGAATCCTACGGGCCGTCTAAGACTTCCCCAGACCGGTCCGGGATTAAATTAGGTACTTCCTATAAGGATGAGTCTCAAGGTCTGAAAAATTAGTCCCACGGTTTTCCTGGGAGATTCTATGTGTTGTTAGGGTACGCAGTAAAAATTACCGTAAGTAGTGCATAACATTTCAAGAATTTGGAAGTATGGTTAAACTTTTGAGTTATTTATGTGAGAAATATAAAAAAATAACCTAGGCTAAAGTTTAATCTTCTGATTTTTGATGATAAGAGAAACACATTCAAACCATATTGTCCGGTGTAACATTTCTTGATGTAGGTTTATTAATAACTAGCTGCCCGACCTTCCTCCGGAAGAAATTATTTTTTTATAATTTAATTTAAAAACATAAGACTATTTTTTGGCTATACAAATAATACAACGATTATAAGATAAAAAATAAAATAAAAAAAAAGGAACAGACATCGTTATCGGTGAATATATGAAAATAATTGGTAATTAGTTAATTATTATTATTATTATAATGAGGGTTAAAAACCGGTTTCCTTCGTCTCCAAAATCAAGTTAGATTCTTATATATATAGATTAGGTACCTAGCTATGTCTATGATATTATAACTAGGTACAGGCAACTCACGCGATTTAATAAATAATATTAAGGAAAAAAAAAAAAAAATTTAATAACATTAAATACCTATTTAGGTATATAGTAACTTCCTATTACCTATGTATTATGAATATTGAATGAAAAGTGATAACGATTAAACGACGTATAATATAAAATACTATACCCTCATTATTGTTTACAATATAATTTTCTTGATGCAGGGGGGGATTAACCCTTACCTTCCTGGGTATGTCTATGGTAGTTTCTAACATTGTTTTTTAAAAATCACATTGAACTAGCTATTAAACTTAGGTACATACGATTCGGAATTTTAAAAAAAATAACTTACTTTTATAGCAACACAAAATTTGATTTAAGATATTTGTACTTAACTACCTATTTAATTAGGTATTCCGTCGTTGTTTTCATCTGTGTGTTTCTAACTGTTTAACGGTGAGTTTTGTAATATTATCCTTAATGCTTTCAGAGGTTTAAATTACATTCCACGAAAGCGTTGTTGAACTTTATAGTTTATTCAAATACAATACTACCACGAGTAGGTAAGTGCAGCTACGCAGTAGAATATAATATTTGCTAAACGAATTTTAATTTGATTATTATTTGGTTAAAAACAAACACTATTATAACATATTATACAGTAAGTGTTATTGTTAAATACATTCGTTTACGAGACTACGATAGTTCATTTACTTCAAGCTAATAGCTAATAAAATATGGGTATTAAAAATATTTTACATGTTGTTCAAAATTTAAATTATTATTAAATTATTATTATTCACACAATAATAATTTGTTTCTACCTATGAATAACTTATAAGTGTATTAAACATACCTATACGCCTTCCAATTTTTATTTAACCGTTTTTGTGAAACATATATTCATATGATGTGTGCATTTGATTGTCATTTCTAATTCACTAAATTTATTTTTGTAAATTATTGAGGTGT